CAGGGATCCAAGAAGGTGAGTGAGGAGCAGGGCACCGTTTCTGGTCTGTCTCCTGCTTGGGGAGTGGATTTCTTCTCCCAGCTTTGGGCAGGCTGGATGTATAACCCTCACTCAGAGCCCTGCTGACTGGGAGGTGCTCCTGGATTTTGGAGGTGCTGGGGTTTATTTACCCCTTCCCTCTACTCCTGCTCTGCTGTAGGATTTCTTCAAGAAATTCCTTTATGAGCCCCTGCCAGTAGAATCGCACTTGGACCACTGCATGCACGATCACTTCAATGCCGAGATTGTCACCAAGACCATTGAAAACAAGCAGGATGCGGTGGACTACCTCACTTGGACGTTCCTGTATCGCAGGATGACGCAGAATCCAAACTACTACAACCTGCAAGGTCAGCAGAGGGGCCTGCACTGGTGGATATGGGGTTGGAGGATATTGGGGATCCTCTGCCTCTGGGCTCTGCTTTCGCAAGAGGAGCTTTTCTCCATCCTGGGGAGTTTCTGACCCCCACCGCAATGCTGCTGTACCCGCAGGTGTGTCCCACAGGCATCTCTCGGATCACCTCTCTGAGCTGGTGGAACAGACCCTCAGTGACCTGGAGCAGTCCAAGTGCATCAGCATCGAGGACGAGATGGATGTGGCTCCTCTGAACCTGGGGATGATCGCTGCTTATTACTACATCAACTACACCACCATTGGTAAGGGCTCTGCAAGGGGCAGGTACCACATGCAGGCGCTCACTGGCACTCCTGCCCTCTGTCCCCTCTCTGCGTCGCTCCCTGTGCGACAGGCAATGGAGAGAAGGTGCCATGTGTGTGGTCGGGTGCTTAAAATCTGTCCTTTAGCACGAGGCTGCGTGTTGTCTGCCTGAAGGTGTCTCTTGTACCGTGGGGCGTAATGCTGTCTCGTTTCCCCTGACCCCTCTACCTCTCTGACTTTCCCAGAGCTCTTCAGCATGTCCCTCAACGCCAAGACGAAGGTGCGAGGGCTGATTGAAATCATCTCCAACGCTGCAGAGTACGAGAACATCCCCATCAGGCACCATGAGGACAACCTGCTGCGGCAGGTGAGTGGCAGCGTGTCAGATCTGGGGTCGGAGGGGACGGATGTGGGTTCCTGCAGGGTCGGGGGAAGGAAGCTGCCCGCGTTTTTGGCTCTGTAGGGCTGAAGCACTGATGGGTTTATCATTTCTCCCCGTAGCTGGCCCAAAAAGTTCCCCACAAGCTGACCAACCCCAAATTCAACGATCCCCACGTCAAGACCAACCTCCTGCTGCAGGCTCACTTGTCGCGCATGCAGCTGAGTGCCGAGCTGCAGTCAGACACCGAGGAAATCCTCAGCAAGGTACGACGGGGCAGGTGGGAACCTGTCCGCCTTGCCTGTGTCACCGTGTTGTGTCACCACGGTCTGACCTGTCCCTGTCCCCTCACATCCAGGCTATCCGGCTGATCCAGGCCTGCGTGGACGTGCTGTCCAGCAACGGCTGGCTCAGCCCCGCGCTGGCTGCCATGGAGCTGGCGCAGATGGTGACGCAGGCTATGTGGTCGAAGGATTCTTACCTCAAGCAGCTGCCTCACTTCACCTCTGAGCACATCAAGCGCTGCACGGACAAGGTAGAGCCGGGGGGAAGCGCTGTGGTCCTGCCCTCGCCCACTGAGGAACCCCGGGTAAGCACAGGGTTGAAAACTTTTTCCTTGCAGGGGGTGGAGAGCGTCTTCGACATCATGGAGATGGAGGATGAGGACCGGAATGCCCTGCTGCAGCTCTCGGACGCCCAGATCGCAGACGTCGCCCGCTTCTGTAACCGTTACCCCAACATCGAGCTCTCCTACGAGGTGGTGGAGAAGGAAAGCATCCGCAGGTGAGGCGGGGAGGGGCGGCACGGTCCCCCTGTTGCTGTGCCGGCACTGGTGGGGAGGATGCCCTGACCCTTGGGTCTCGGTTCTCTTGCCACAGCGGTGGGCCCGTGGTGGTGCTGGTGCAGCTGGAGCGTGAAGAGGAGGTCACCGGGCCTGTCATCGCTCCCCTTTTCCCACAGGTACGTACCAAACCTGGTGACACTGGGGTGGCAAAAGTATGGGGGGATTGTCCCCTACTGCCCCCAGCCCATTAACTCTTACCTCTCTGGCAGAAACGTGAGGAAGGTTGGTGGGTGGTGATCGGCGACTCCAAATCCAACAGCCTCATCTCCATCAAGCGGTTGACGCTGCAGCAGAAAGCCAAGGTGAGCGGGACCAGGCAGAGGGGCAGCTGGCACCCAAACGGACATGGTTTGAGCGTGCTGGACGGGTGCCCCATCTGCCTGCTGCCACCCCAACACCTGCTCTTCCTTGCTGCTTAGGTGAAGCTGGATTTCGTGGCCCCGGCTACGGGGACACACAACTACACGCTGTATTTCATGAGCGACGCCTACATGGGCTGCGACCAGGAGTACAAGTTCAGCGTGGACGTGAAGGAGGCGGAAAGCGACAGTGACTCTGACTAAAGTGGGGCCGCAGGGCCCAGTGAGGATCCCCCCATAGTTCAGCCACCAAACCCCAGCTGTGGTAGCGCTTTGTGTCGCCTCCCTTTTTGTGGATTCTGTGTATTTTCCTGGTTTGTTTTGTTTTTTTTAAGGTAGTGATGTTTTGTACAGTGTTTTTTAGACAGGAGCTGCGCGCAGAAGCGTAACTGCGGCAGCTGGAATAAATCTTGAGACCCATCTTGCCCTCTGCATTGCTGGGTCTGGGGGGGGAAGGGGAGGAAGAAACGGGCACAACCCTGATGCTACTCGCCGAGTAGCTCTGTGCCTTCACTGTGGGGCTCAAAAAAGTTCATTAGCAGAACTAATTAAGGCAGAGTTAGCTTAGTAGCTGTTTCTGGGAGCACTATGCCGGCACCAGCAGACCTAAATGCTTCCCCTTGAGCTGTGCTTCACCATGAGGTGTAAAACCAGCTCCCTGGCAGGCCTGTCCTCCTCTGCCACCTCGTGCAGCTCCTGGGGGAGCACCTACACCCCGAGGGTGTGACGGGTGTGCACCAGTGATGGCACCAAAAGGAAGAGCCGGAGGCTTTGGCCAGGAGAGCACAGATTTATTGAGCATGGGGGCAGAAGGAGGGGGGAGCAAGTCCTGCCCCGTCTCTGAAAGCAGCCAGATCCCGGCAAAGGCGCCATGCTCCCATTTGCATCCCTGGGGAGGCCGGTGGGCCCCCCATGGTCCTGGGCATGCAGAAGTCCAGCCTGTGAGGCAGAAGAGGTCGGTAACCCTCTTCCCTGCCCTGCTTTCCGCACTGGCATGGGGCCAGGTGCTGGCAGCAGCACCGAAGGGTCCCGCTGCTGGGTAGGGGGGACAACACGCAAGAGAATTGAACGTCTCAGCAAACTTCAGGGCGCTGGTACTTCCAGAAGGCGATCTCGCCGTCGTCGCTGCAGGAGGCCAGCAAGCCCGGCTCCTTCGGGTTCCAGGCCACGCAGTTAACATCCTGTGAGTGTGCCCGGGGGACGTGAGCGGCGAGGCCGAAGGTGGGCTGCTGCGGGTCGGAGGACGCGCTCTCCTCAAAGACTCGGATGGCATCGTCACCGCAGGCCGTCGCCAGCGCCCCGGTGAGGTGGCACCTAGAGCAGAGGCAGCGCCAGCCGGGTCACCCACGCTGCCGCCGGGAGAAATCGGAGCCGGATGGCTCCGCCACAGCCTCCCTCCACTCACCAGGCCACGTCATAGATGGTCCTCGTGTGGTAGCCAGAGAGGTTGCAGACGCACTTCCAGGTGGGGTCGGTGCCACTGCAAGCCACCCCTGGAAAGCAAGAGAATAACTTTGGCTCCCTGCCCCCTCTCTTCCCCAGCTGGTTACGCGCAGCTCCGAGTACTGCGGCACGTAAGACGGGCTGGGAGCCTTACCTTCCTCGTTGCCCGGCTTGTACTGGCGCCAGATGCGCACCGTCTTGTCGTCGCTGCAGGAAGCCAAGCGCTCGCCACTGCGGTCGAAGGCTACGCTCCACACCGTCGACTCGTGGCCCTCCAGCGTAGCACAGCACACCCAGTCGTCCTCCTCTTCGTGGTACAGCTTCACCGTGTCGTCATAGCTGGCCGAGGCCAACAGCTGAGAGAGGGCAGAGGAATGAACCAGGCGCCAGGCAGCTGCCTGCACCCGTGAAGCTGCCCTTCACCCATGGTTTGAGGTTGGTGGAGCCAGAACAGGAGGAGGTTGCCGCTTTCCAGGCCTGTTCCCAGCACTGGGGTAGGGTCTGGGGTGGAAACTGGGGTCGCCCCGGCCAGGCTCAGTTCTTACCTCCTGGTTGGGGTGCCAAACCACGTGCTTGACATCCTGCGTGTGGGAGTTGAGGACGCTGACGCACTCGTATTCCTCCTCCTCATCCACTGCAGTGAGAAAACTGTTGCAGTGAGAAGAGGGGAGGCTGGGGCTGGGGGTCAGCTTTGGCTCAGCCGTGTCCCAGCTCAGGCCCCTCCATTGTCCCCCCCTCTTCTCCCTTGTGGTGCCCAGGGGGAGGGCTGCTCCCCCTCGTCCCCCCCCCGGTTCTCCCCTCACCTTCCCAGACCCAGACACTCTTGTCTCGGCTGCAGGTGGCGAGCAGGGTGCCGGAGGGAGCCCAGGCCACCGACTTCACCTCGTTCTCGTGCCCCTCCAGCGTGGTGACGCACTGGGGAGGGAGAGGAGAGAGTGGAGGAGTAGGGGGGGTACGGGGAAGGGGGTCAGTGACTGGAGGGGGTGTGGGGGGGTCTCACCTCAAAGCCATCCTCTTGCTTCTTCCAGATGCAGGTGGTGGCGTCGAAGCTGGCAGAGGCCAGGTAGGAGCCGCAGGGGGACCAGGCCACCCTGCGCACCGTGCGCTGGTGCCCCTCGCCCAGCACCGCCCGGCAGGGCCAGCCCC